GTGTTACCCCAAATAACTAATTTTACCCTAAAAACAGTCCGATTGTACAGCAAGTGTCAACTGAACATGTAATAAAGCAGTCTGACCGCTCTAATGTGACCGAAACTACGCAATCGAAAAAACGTTGTTTACATTTTTTGCGGGAACTAATCGCAACTGATTTCCGGACAAGCTTCGCTGCATCGTATTCCATCCAACGCACCGGAAACCTTACTTTTTTTCTAAATATTTGGCCGAAGACTGAGAAATATATTTGGCTACTGAACTGAACTGAAGGCAAAAATTTGGCTACTGAAGCGTCGCCAAAGATCTTGCAATATTCATCCACTCTCTGCACAGTGGGCGGTGCAGAGGGTGGATGCAACGTCGCCAATATATAGGTTTTTAAGCCCTAAGCGTCGCCGAGTAATTTTAACACGTTGGCCGCGATTGCTGATTTGGCCCGAATGCCGTACGGGCGATACCTAGGTTCAAACTTGTATATCTTCAGTTACCCGGCAGATAGCAAGGAGAAAAGCTGTGTGCAGCTCTGCAGGGGTAGGTTCTGTCATTGTGTCACGTAAAATTCGTGGCCACATTTAGTGCACATTGCTCAGGGTTGAAATTCGTCATTATTCCTGGCGATGTGTACCAAATGAAGTCATGCCTGTTGTGGCTCATATTGGCTCACACCGCCTATTGTAATCACTTCTAATACTGTGGGCGATGTGTACCATGCATCTATGGCTCATATTGCGGAAAAACGCCTAAAGTTGTCACTCTTATCACTGTGAATGATGCGCGCAATAAATCTACATTAGTTTTGAGTCATAATTGCACACATTATGACTACCGGTATCTCTTAGCTTTTTGTGAATGATGTATATTATGCATGGAAATTACTATGGAAAGAGATTGGTGTCCAGGTTTTCATTATCCTGAATAAAATTGCGGGTATTTACATTGTTAGTTCAGTTATATTTACCTTATAGAGATCATTCATCGATATATTGTCTTGAGCTTCTGTTACAAGCAGCATTTCAGAGAAAGAGTAAAATCAGGATATAGATCTCAAAATTTCGAGTGGGACAGAGGACAGCCCACTTTCATTGAACCAACTAAAACTAAAGCCAGGATGTGCTGCCATGAATGCTACAACATACTCTCAGCAAATGAGGGAAGTGCCGTAGCAAAGATGAAACGCGAAGGGTACAAAATATTTTGATGACTGTGAAGGAAAACCATACATGTGCGATAATTGTTTTTCAATCACGTATTGCCAACATTGGGTGATGTTGGCAACACCCAATGTTGTAGTTTCAGATCAATAAAAAATATTTTATTTTGTTTTCATGCAAAGATAGATATATATATATATTGCTTTCATCAATGGACACAAGTTTCGTAATTTTTGTATTACTTGCATATGAAAATAAAACTATTTCTCTAAGCAGTAGTTGACTTCAAAGCATTCCCTAACATGCTTATTTAATTGCATCATTGAAATTTTAAATTTGAAAGAGTAATGAGATTTTATAAAAATATGTATTTTTCATTTGAATGTACCACATGTGTACACATCGCGATTCTGAGAAGTACAGCGTGTACATATATGGCGCACATTGCGGCCAACGTGTTAAGATGCGTCGCTGGGTATTTTTTAATGAAAAGCCATTTACTCTGAGTAATGAAAAACTATTTACAAGCCATGAACTTATTTACAAGGTTGCATGCACGTGTTACTCCAAATAACTACATAATTTTACCCTAAAAACAGTCTGATTGTACAGCAAGTGTCAACTGAACATGTGATAATGCAGTCTGACCGCTCTAATGTGACCGCAAGTACGTAATCGTAAACTTGATGTTTACATTTTTTTGGCGGGAACTCATCGCAACTGATTTCCAGACAAGCTTCACTGCATCCTGATCCATCCAACATACCGGAAACCTTACTTTTTTTCAAATAGTTAACCGAAGACTGATAAATGTATTAAATGCAAGAATTTAAATCTAAATGTGTTGGCAAGATCTTCTGAAGGTGTAAATTTTGCTACTGAAGCGTCTCCAAAGATCTTGCAATATTCATCCACTCTCTGCACAGTGGGCCTTAATGATAGAAGTTTTCCATGCTTGGTTGAAGTTGGTTCTTATTGATTGTAACTTAGTAAGTTGCTTTAGTTTATATAGTCTACAGGATTAGAATTTTCCTACTTGTTCCTGAAATCTTGCTGCTCTTGCCTGACAAATTTTTAATACATTTGGAATCTCTTGGCCTAATTGGCTGATCGTGCACTTTTGTTAACAATTAGATAGGAGGTAGTTCATCTGTAGGAAATCTTGTGGTTCTGGAAATGGCTGGAAAGCTCCAGTAATGGCCCTAATGGTAGAAGTTTTCCATGCTTGTACTTTCTGAGCCATAAAAAAATTACTGAGCAATGATTTCAATTTAAAAGTTTATGCTTCACTTAGATGTCACAGCTTCAAACTTCAAAGTAGAATATTCTGGGCAAATTTGTTGCTAGGGTAGGTAGCTAGTGGCTCAATCAAGCTGTCGTTTTGACTATTTGATGGCAGGCAACTTGCCAACCAGAAATGTTGCACTTACAAAAAAGGCAGAAAAGCTCTAGCTGCAGGTTGGTTTGAGAGGTATAAATTTTTCATACTTTGCTCTAACTAAGCCAGTGAGTTCATTTTTTGAGTTTTGTACCAAAAATTTCAATGGATTGTTACAAAAATTGGAGATTTAGTATTTTTATTGTGCATTGTTTATGTTTCCTTCATTATTAATCACAGACATTAATAACTTATATTATTATGCTCAATTTTTCAATAGATAGATAAATTAACCTGCTAATTCAGCATAATTTGATGACCTCATGATAGTTTAATGACTAAAATGACATTATGACCCATGTTAACATCCAAGTTATTGTTTATAGGCACATTATAAATATTGGGCATTGACCACTTAACATAATGGACAAATGTGTAGTTTGTGGGGAGAAGACTGAGGGTAAGCCCCTCTATAAGAAGCTGGGATCTGAGGACATTCAGGTGAGTTGCATTTAGTATAATTCTGTTATCCTTTCCATGGATCATTTTTTATTTTAATGCATGATTATCTATTTGGAAGGGAATTATCATTTTACATCTATTGTTGAAACTACTTTTTATGGTGTTTGGGAGCATATTGATCTGATGTTGGAGGTCAATCCTACTGTCTTAGCAAGATTTATTCTTCATCTATTCAATTCAGAAGTAACTTCAGCTGAGGAGAAATTTTGAGCAAATATCACTAAATGGTCAGTAGGAACTACCACAAAAGCTAATTAACATAGAACTTTTGTTCAGTTATATTGTCAAATGTAACTTCCACAAATTAGATTAACAAGGAACTAAACTGTTCAGACCACAAAATTGAAGGATAATTCGTAACCAAAACTGTACATTTTTATTAGTAATGATCTTTGTGGGGGAATGTTTTGTTGAAAACTCCCATTTATAAACACACGTTTTCTTGCTTGTCTTGGGAACAGCACTTCCTTTTTGCAGTGCTCAATGAACCCAATCCATTTAGTATGCATATATCAAATATTTGTTATGTTATTCTCAATAGCAAATTTTCAATAATCCCAACTATTCAAAATTTTCCTGTTCTCCAAACAAGATAGTTCCATAAAAGTTGTCTCCCAGATTGTATTCTTCTATTATTTGGCTATATATCATGATTATGTTAACACAATTATTACATTCACTTGACTTCTTCAATAGCTTATGAATAAATTAAAAACACATTTTATTTGTCATGTTTTTCAAAAAGTTTTGATATAGCAACAATATTGTGAAAAGCATTGATGGTTTGCTTGCAGGTTGATGTTCTCTCAGCTCTGCAAGAACTAGAGTTGGTTCATGATCTCTCCAATGCTCGTGATCGCTACATCTGCTGGGACTGTGATGACACTCTTGCTAATGAATACAAAAGGTTATTAACTGCTGACTGTTTTTAGAAATATTTTATCTATCTAACTATAGAGCATAACTTTGGGGATGCATTTCATACCAACTATTTTTGGGGGGGTTTGAACTCTTTAATGAGGGAAAAGATGATGTGGCTTGACTTAGATAAAGCATGTTAGAGGTATCATTGATTAAACTTATTTGTTCTTTGATTAACTATTAAACTGCCATAATTATTTGGCGAAACTCATCCCTCAAGTATCAATGTGATTGCATTATTTGCTATGTAATTGAAATATTTGATCGCCCGGGCCCGGGGCGCTTCAAACTCCCGGCGATCGCCCGGGCGCTTCAACCTCCTTACTAAATATACTATGATTAAATGTATGTAAGAGCACTGTTAAATTTTCAGGTTTGAGAATGCAAAAGCAAGTACCACAAAGGCAGTGTTGAAGCAGCACGAGCAATACGAGGCAAGCAAACGCAAGCTCTCCAAGAAGCTCAAGGCTGCTTTCAAAGCTGTCAAGACTCCACAGCAGGTTAGTGTCTCTGCAAGGCCATATCTGTTCTGAAGTTTCTAGGCTCATCAAAATCTTCTAATCAGGTTCAATTTAAGGCAGGAGCCAAACTATGGCTATTTAAATTTCTTTGAAAAATGTTGAAGTTCTGTACCCTTATTCCTAGTAATTTCTATGAAATGAAATGTTATATGCCACTGAAAATTCTTCCTAATACCAATAGTCTTCCCTTAATACTGGGCAGCTTACAGGCTGGAGATATTTAGGCTGCATGTTTATATTAGATCTGTTTGTACAGTGAACAATTCAAGACTATGCTCTGCGTTCTCGTGTCATTCTCGATATCATTGAGCTAGCTTTGTTTTTGGTTATTCATGATGAATGTGTTCCTCTTCTATGGTGAAAGTTCTGAGCTTGTCTACGGTATTAATTAAAGAAAAAAAGTTCACAGAAAAATATATATTCTATTCATAGCAATAAAAATGATGAATCCCAATGTTGTTTCATCCTCCAGGGCACAAATCAGCTCAATATAATTGCATAATTTTTCGTTTACATTATCACTGATTTATTGATGTTGTCTCATTGTAGGTGCTAGAGGACCAGCGCAAAGATGAACAGCGCTACTTTGCCAGCCACTGCCTGCTGTGTGCTGGGGAGTTTGATTCCCCAAGAGGATTTGTGCGCTTCAACCTCCTGAGGAACGTTGATGAAAACTGCACAGTCGCCCAAATGTTGACTGTAAGCTTTTACTGATCTGCATCTCCCAAAATTATGAGCTCATGGAAGTGTTTTTAGCAATTTCTTTTATTACGTTAGTAACTGATGCTGAACATTTGTGCAATTTATTGTGCAGTTAGGTTTAAAATGAATGGCAGCCAATAAAGGAAAATTTTGTTTTAGGTCAACTTACTTCATGCCCATCTTGTTAATTATTTGCGCACCTCTTAGTTCATCGATGGGATCTATGTGTTCATATAACTTCTCGGATATCTTGAAAGTGATTGGTGTGCAGTTGTTGGAGCTAATCTTGCTGTAGCTCCCGGGCCTTGATACAATATAACTTCCTTGATGTTCATATGAATGATCGGTGTGCAGATGTTGGAGCTACATTCAGCTGTAGCTCCCGAGCTGCAGAGCAAGCGCTACATTTGCTGCGGCTGCTACAACTCAACGCGCCGCAAGTATCGCGGCTACCAAAAGGACGTTGGTTCGGGGGGCGCCACGCATACGACCAACGGCACCGCCACGGGTGCCCTGAAGGAGGCCAGCCATGTGGCCATGCCCATGGATGCCAGCAAGGTCCCCACTCCTGAGGAACACGCCGCTGAAATAGTCAGTGGCTTTGGCTTCTTTGCAGTAATGTAATGTAATGTAGTTTTGCCCTCCTCGGCACATCTTAGATTTGTATTTGTTCAAGTGCCTCTGTATGTTACCAATGGATATTTTATTTATTCGTCGTTTATGGCGCTACATTTTACCCATTTGTGCTGTGACGTATCGAAGGAAATTGGCAAGAACTTGCTATGATTGATGTGAGTTTTGTGAACGAAATTCATAGATTTTTTCAATGGTACACATAAATGGCCATGCTTCTAACCTAACAAAGTCTTAAGTTAAAGCCTTCGTGCCGCATCAGAAATTCGAAATAGTTGAATTAAAAGGAGCCTGAAAAGAGGGAAAATTCTTCATGCCTGTGACGCTGTATGTTGAGGCTAAGTTTGATTAATAGTGTGCATAAGGCAACTTTGGTTTAGACTTGCACACTTCCTTGTTAATTTCACTTAATTCTACACGAGTTTGTCTGAAGCCTAAGACGACAAAAACGTGCCTAGCGGGCATAACTTGTGCGCTCTTCTAAAGGGTCAAACTGCAGGCACCTCTTGAGTGATTACTTTGCATTCTAATTTTCTGAACTTTATGAACTATCAAGAATTGAAGAGCCAAAAAAATTTCAAGGTAATCCATCCGAATTTCTGTCCAACATAATTTAAATTATGGGTAATTTACCTAGCAATTCATTTGCTCCAAAAGTCCTTGATATTTTGCGATTTAGGCAAATGAATGAATGCTCTTTTTGGTGGTTTCGACTGGCCTACCGCCCAAATATCTGCCTAGGTATCAGACAAATCTTCTGTCACAATCATCCCTACACTCAAGAACCCAGACCCCCTTCTCCGCACTGATCTGCAGCAGTTTCATTCTGCTAAAATATCCTACAATCCTGGGAGTCATATGGAGTACCCACTTTATCTCCTGTCCCACGGCAGGGCAACAAAACTTGAGCTGCCAGCACTCTTCGCATTCAGAAGTTCTGGCTGGCATTACTGAAATTTCACAAATTAGGATATCATTTCATATAAAAAAAACCTCACCAATTCAATCCTGAACTACCTTGCCATAGCCTTTCATCCCCTACTACCCGCTCTGCTGTTGCAAACCTTCTGAGTCTTGCGAGCTCCGCCTTGAGAGGCACCACCAGCTGCCCCTAGCTGGCCTGACAGTTTTTCTTTTCCTCGTCCGCCCATATGGATCTCGCCTGCTCGCAGTATCTTGCGAGTGCTCTCTACCATCCTTTGTCTTGCAAGTTTCTACTACCATTACACCAAACATGCAACCCTATATGTTGCCATCCCGTAGCTCCCTTGTTAATGGACGGCATACTGTAGGCTGAGCGGACCTACTGCAGGGCGATCTTCTCCCACACTCAGCGCCCGCCAAGGTCATCAGGGTCTTGATCGCACTGCCACCTCTGATCACCCACAAGAAAGACGTCTATTTAACAAAAACCAATTTACGCTGGCTCTGCTGCGGTCTTTTTGGGCTCCCTCCCAGCATTTCCCCATCTATCTCTTTTTCCGTTTGCCTTCTCCGCTCTTCCGTTTGCCCTCTCCTCTCTTCTTCCGTTTGCCCTCTCCTCTCTTCTTCCGTTTGCCCTCTCCTCTCTTCTTCCGTTTGCTCTCTCCTCTCTTCTTCCGTTTGCCCTCTCCTCTCTTCTTCCGTTTGCCCTCTCCTCTCTTCTTCCGTTTGCCCTCTCCTCTCTTCTTCCATTTGCCCTCTCCTTCCTCCACTGCCAATACCAACTTCCCTGATGTGTTTGAATAACAGAGCTATGAACAACAGCCAAAACGACAAAGCATTCAACGAGAAGTGAAGCTGATGAGCCGACAGTAGTCAAAAGATCACGTCTTGAATGCAGTCGTAACATCGCGGTTTTATCTGAATCGCGTAAAATGCAGCATTATGTTTTGAATTGTGCTTGAAGCAACTTAAAAAGACTTTCTATGGCAGCATGCAAAAAGTACTAGAAAATAAATTGAAAGGAGCCTGAATAGTTTGAGGATTAATAATGTACTTCTTTGTTTTTTTCAACTGTGAATGTCATTGATGTTGGCATTCGAGACAATTTTTACAGATATCACTATAAGTTAATAAATATTTTTTGGTACACAGGCTTCAAATTAAACTTTGAACCTTATAGTTCTTGATAATAACCCCGGAAAAATTTGTTGTGAATACATGTGTCTTAATTTTTGCTTATAGTTTGCCATAAAAAAAATATCCAGAGGTTCTTTCTTTAGTTGAAAAATGACCCAAAAATTAATTAGCAAAGGATTGTGCATTTCACGATTATGTTTTGTTTCAGGCTAAACTCCTCCCGCCCAGTCTGGCTGACACGTACAAAATAATTGGCCACAATCGTCCGCTGTCTCCACATGTGGATGACACTAATGCAAAGAAACAGAAGCTCGAATCTTATCGTTCGCTTGGACTAAGTCTGACATCCGACAGCTCTGATGACAGCAGTGACGACGAAAAAGAAAACTCAAATGATGCCAGCTCAAGTAAAGGGAAAGTTCGTGAGTTGACTCCTAAGAACGGTTCAGTGGTGGCCAAGCAGAGCCTGTCGACGATGGATATGACCGCTGGTGGCAAGAGTGCTGGGCATACAAATTCGTTCTATCAAAGCGTTCAAAATACATTGAAAAATAACAAATCAACCCAAAAATTAGTTCATAAGTCACCTGTAAAGTCTGTCAGCATTAGCGATGCATATGCTAAAACTTTGAAGCACATTGAACGTCAGAAGAAAAATGTGACTCCTGACCACATAACATGTGACCTTACTATGCCTAGCAGAGGAATAAGGACGTTCGTACCAAGTGAATTGAATAAAACCGTTGATAGTCCCATTATTGATGATAAAGGTGGTAAATCAATTTCCAGTACTGATAGTGGAAGCTCCAGTGACTCCAGCAGTGATTCCTCATCTTCCTCTAGTATGACTGACTCGTCAAACAGCGATGCCGAAGACGGCCAATCTGAATCCGAGATGACCATTGGCAAGAGAAATGCTATTCAAGATTCTAAAGAAAAGAAGAATCGTTCGCGCAAGCAGGCTTTGCCAACGTCAGCTACTTCAAATGCGTTGCCTGTGGAGCAAAACAACGTAACTGCTGTGGAGAGCGGCTGGTGCAACGTCTGTGGTTTACAGTACCACGACAAGAGCCGTGACTGGTGGCAGACTCTTGACTGTTGCGTCCCTGGCCTGCCACACGTCACCTTCAGAGTCGCTCTTCACGTAAGAACCTCCAGTGAATTTATGAAGCTAATTAAGCTAGCTTTTTGGTGACGGATGCCGCTGGTTCCCTATTGTGGACTGTATTGTATTGTATTGTATTGTGGACTGTATTGTGTGCTGCTGGTTCCCTATTGTGGATTGTATTGTATTGTGGAATGTATTGAATTGTGTACTGCTGGTTCCCAATTGTGGACTGTATTGTGTACCACTGATGTTGTGACGTGACGTTATACTGGAGACCTAGGCCGTGACGTTATATTGTAGACCGAGGCGTTATACTGTAGCCCGAGGCCGTAATGTTATATTGGAGACCGAGGCCGTGACGTTATACAGTAGACCGAGGCCGTGACGTTATAATGGAGACCGAAGCTGTGACGTTATACTGGAGACCGAGGCCGTGACGTTATACTGGAGACCGAGGCTGTGACGTTGTTCTGTAGACCGAGGCCATCACGTTATACTGGAGACCGAGGCCGTGACGTTATACTGGAGACCGAGGCTGTGACGTTGTTCTGTAGACCGAGGCCATCACGTTATACTGTAGACCGAGGCTGTGACGTTATACTGGAGACCGAGGCCGTGACGTGATACTGTAGACCGAGGCTGTGACGTTGTTCTGTAGACCGAGGCCATCACGTTATACTGTAGACCGAGGCCATGACGTTATACTGTAGACCGAAGCCGTGACGTTCTTTAGACCGAGGCCGTGACTTTGTTCTTTAGACCGAGGCCGTGACTTTGTTCTTTAGACCGAGGCCGTGACTATGTTCTTTAGACCGAGACCGTGACTTTGTTCTTTAGACCGAGACGGTGACTATGTTCTTTAGACCGAGGCCGTGACGTTACATTGGAGACCGAGGCCATTTATCTGAACTTTTTTTCGCCCCCAGACCCTGAACACGAGGCTGGCGGTGATGATGGCGTCTCAGAGGCGAGGTTTGCTGGTGTGTCGCCCCTGCAGTCACCGCGTCACCGCAGGTTTCCAGTGAGTCTTGGCACACGTGCCTGACATTATAAGACACACGTGACACGTGCCATGTTAGACACATGTGCCTGACATGGCACACGTGCCTGTACACCTTCTCCCGATTGAGTCCTGTTTTTAGATATAATGTTAGGTCTTGTTTAGGTTTTATGTCTGTCTCAGAATTTTGACTTATAAAATGATTTTATTCATTTTTAGATTGTCGAACTAATGATGGAGCTGGACTCCCAAACGTTTTCAATATCAATATGGTGAATTTGCTTGGCGTTTACTTCGCTTTTAAATTCCTTATTCCCTGATTGATAATTGTTACATTCTTGATAATTTATATGCCTTGTGATGGTAAACTTAGTTAACTCTTAGTCTACGAATATGTTGCTTGTTGTCAATGATAATTGTATCTGAAGGCCTGGTAACGTTCGATACGTCTGACGAAAAATAAGACGGCACTTGCCTATAGTTTGTTTCGTCAAAATTTTGGTGTGAAGGGTAATTGGTATACCTACCTGTTATTTTGATGCTTTCAACACGAATTACATTCGTATTTAATACCATTTTATTTTCAAATTAGATTCTCATCCCAAATCATTTCAACATTTTTTTTTCAAATCATTTTGCCAAATCACTGGCATTCCTTTAACATTCATTCTCGTAAAACCTGTGAGATAATTTTCTGCCTGGCTAGTGTCAGTGTTTCTAATTTTATTTTTAACTTTTTAGAACAATCTCTCTTAGTATTGAACTCATTGCATGTCCCCGCCTGAAGAAACTCTTGCGGCACAAACTCGAATGGCTTTTTTTATAATTATTTTTCTTATAAAATATTGTATTAATATCGAATCTCGTGAAACTTTAACTTGTAGTGAAGTGTTTATTAATGGGAAATATTCTCTTCACTTCATCATTAATTTCCTTAATAGTACTATGGCTGAGTAAATCATCAAAAGATTCGTTCGATTATGAAAACTCCAGTCTGCTCGGAAAGTCTAAACTAATTTAATATTTACATTTTTGGAAATGAAATTCGGTTGTCTGATGCCTTACATCAGACAACAGAACTGGTTTGAAAAGTTTATTCCAGAACCTTGAGTTCGTGCCTCAATTCAATTACTACGTTGGGCTGGGAGAATCATGAATTGTATGTCTGTAACGACAACGAATATAATGTTGTGGGTTTAATTGCTTTGTACTATGATCACCTAACACAGATTTGCCTTTTGTGTTGCAGAAGTCAAATCCTGAAGAAAGTGGCGGCCTCTCGAGGCGTGTCAGTGACGGACATCGACGTGTCTAAGTTCAAAGTGCGCGTCATTGACGACGACGACTCGCAAAGCTCCAAGAAATCCTCTTCCAGCAAAGAGACCAACGCCACACATTCTTCTAGCTCTTCCAGGAGCCGCCGTGACTTTGAGAAGACCAAACGTCCTGAAAGAAGACGTGAAGGCTCAGGGAAGAGTGCTGTCAGTCATCACAGCGCCGAGCCCAGCTTCAGCAGCCGTAGCAAGCAGCAGCCTGCCTCTTGTGCGGCGATTGGTAATGGCCACCATAGCCCCAAGCTAGGAGGGCCCTGTCCAAGGGAAACTCCTAAACCTCAAAGATTTAAGAGTAAGTACGAAGATGGAAGCCATTCAAGCAATAGAGAAACTGGAGTGAAGCGAGCGACTGCTTGCTCTAGAAATTCAGGCTCCTTGCTACCTGCCAAGCACAAGTCGCGACCGAGTAAGACACGTCGCGTCAGTGACGCTGAGAGCGATGAAGATTACATGCCTTCTCATTGCAAAAAGATAGAAAAAGTCATCCAAACTCTGCGGAAAATTCAAAAACCCAAGACCAAGTTGCCTAGTGACGGAAGTGACCAGAGTGATGTGCACGCGAGCCGACCTGATTCTTATTACCGAGTGAAGAACAATGTCAACAAACTTCTGCAGGTGAGCAATAATTGACAAAACTAAACATTTTTAATAAGATTATATTAGTAATTATAATTTTTTGCAATATAAATAAACAAAAATTAGGTGTACGGCCTGTAAAGGAATATGACATTTCTAATTCGAATGGAAACCCATTATAGGTACCTATATATGAAATCCATACAAGTGAACCAACACCTTATTTCATAACATTTTATTTTACTAAAAAAAATGATGTCTATACTAGAATACTAGAGAACCAAGGAGCACAACTATATGTCATGATTGATATATATGTATAAATATAAGAATGTTACTTAATATAAGAATGTTTTTGTTGCTTTTAACATTTTCTCTCCTGATAATCGTCAATGGTACGTCTCATTTGTGTGCTTCTGAGGCCAAACACGAATAAATTTATCAGTGCCGAAGAATGTGGACAGTGGCGGAATCAGATATAAAATTGAAGTCTAATGTAATTCTACCGAGTATTATAGTTGGAAATATAACAAATTCATAATATAGTCGAATGTACTCTTTCACCAAGTCGCAAGCAATGATTTATTTTATTGATAGTTGATTGTATTGTAAATTATGAATGGAAGACTTTCTTAACTCCATTAAAATTCCTGGTTCAACAAATGCTCGCGCGTGGATGAGCTTCGTGTATTGTGAAGCTCGTTCACGTTTTCTAAAATCTAAATTCATGATGAAACAAATATTTTGACAATTGCATACATATATCGCAAATCCTTGGATATTGTTGCACGCGCTGTACACAAGATAATTCGGTATAAGTGCATAGGGAATGCTGTTTTTTCAGCCTCTTTTATCAGTTCTGAATTTCGCAGTTTGTCGACGTTGTTGTAGAATATTCTCTGACGTTGCCAGTCTCGGGACTTTCAGCTCTGCGCATACACCACTTATGCCTGAACCTCTTCTGGTGTTATCGTTCTTCGCACGAGAAATTAGTTCCCTCATTTAAACTGTCTGCATCTCGCCAGGTTCTGGTCCAGGACCATAGACCACTTTTGCCAGGACCGTTTTTGGTGCTATCGTTCTTCGCACGAGAAACTAGTTCCCTCATTTTAACTGTCTGCTTCTCGCCAGGTTCTGGTCCAGGACCATACACCACTTATACCAGGACCGTTTCTGGTGATATCGTTCTTCGCACGAGAAACTAGTTCCCTCATTTTAACTGTCTTCGTCTCGCCAGGTTCTGGTCCAGGACCTGCAGGCAGAGCTGCCGGCCGCGTGCTTACGAGGTGACCGCGTGTCTGCCAAGTGCATCTCAGCGCTGGCGTCCGACTGCTGCTGCCTCTGCAGCTTACCTGCACGTGACCGCTCAGCTCTAACTTCCAGTCACGACAAATATTCCATTGGATCAGGTGTTCGCGTGACTGAAGTGTCTTCTACCTGTGCTGGTTCATCTGGAGTCCTGAGCTCAGCTACAACCAAGGAGAATTCCAATCTTAAATTGACGAAGGAATCACCTGAAACGACTGGAACTAAGACGTGCGACATGCAAGTAATATCGGGATCAGATCTAACAGAAAACCAAAAAGCCCAAAATAATGCTGATACAAAATTAATCTGCGTGTCAGATCAGAAGTCTACGAGATGTGACACCATAAATGCGGAATCAAGTTGCCCTATTTCTGATCGAGACTTGACATCGGAGATGAGAGATGGACCCGCTCTCTCACTGACCGTGTCTTCAATTTCCGATGGTCCGACTTCTGAGAATAAACCAACTTCTATTGATGGTGATTCGAGGTCTCCGATTACCAATAGCTCTGCTCTAAATTGTTTGAGTGTCTCACAGACCGGACAAGAATCCAAATCTTTTAAGCCAGAAATTAATGGCGTGTGCCAGAATTTTAGTGATGTGAAGTCATCATTGCCCAGCGCTTCGAATGAATCTTTCTCGACAGCCGCTGCTTCTTCATCGTCTACATCAGTGGACTCATCGCCACCAGCGCCGACGAGTTCCTTGGTCTCGTGTGCGACCGACTTGCTGTCTTCAAACAACGGCTCAGATCCTTCCATGGCACGAACCTCAGACTTGCCGGCTGCAGGTAGGACGGAGACCTCAGACACCGCTGCATTAGGGTCTTCGCATCTATCATCTGCGAACGCAAAAAATTCATCTGACATAGAAGCTATGCATGCACAATCAACAGAAAAATCATGTTCAGGGACAATTGATCTTCCATTAAGAGTTCCAAATGATATGGATCCTCGGGTAGATATTGCTGCTAAATCGCCGGAATTTGATAGTGACCAGCAAATTAACCGTGAAATTTCTGCGAGAACGTCAATTTCTGAAAATCATGTCAAGGAACCAATTGGTACTGAAGCAGCCGTAAGTTACTTGGACGAGAATAATTATGTGGTCGGTACAACGGATTCGTCGGATAGTTGCAAAATGAATAATGACACAAATTTTGAAACGAATAGCTGTAAACTCGCGCCTGTCGAGTTAGCTGATACTTCAAAAGAAGCTTTCAATTCCAAATACATCTCTGGTGTTGATCTAGAAGAACCTGGAAGACCAAAAGTTGATGCAATTGTTGACGTGGCTTTGGGAGGTGCTTCTCCCAACTCCAGCGATTCTGCTTTGACGCAGAAAGATGTACCTGATGTTGAATCTCAATCTACTAATTCTATAATACCTGAATCTAAGATAAATTGCATGTCTTCGGATTCCAGCCATAAAGATTTGGACCATTCTCTTTCTAAAACAAAATATTTACACGAGCAGCTTCAAGCTGAAAAAGAATCTCCTTCTGTTGTTGCCCCAAATGTCATAATAGCAACTTCAGGCTCTGAAAAGCCACCCACTACAACGGAGCTTCTGGTGCCCCTCATCAGCACTTCAACTTCATGTGAATCTTCAACTGTTGTGCCAAAATCCAGCGCACCGACTACTACCGAACCAATTTTGACGTCTTTGCTTGATGTCTCCTCATCTATTGCTGGTGAATTGAATTCCAACGGAGATGTTGAAACTAAGTCGCCTGCTAGTCCTGCTTCAACCCAACTTCCTTCCGTTGTTAAATGTCCGTCCAACACTAACATGACGTCTTCCTCCACACCTAATGTTGAAGTTGAAACTCAGTCCCCTGATCCACCGACTGCCAACTCGAACCTCGTGGCTTCTATCGGCGGCCAGAAAGTCTCATCAACGGCACAGTCTTCGTTGGTCGTCGCCACCCCTGAGCCGGACCTGACTGACTCGTGTCTTCTATCGCCACCCAACCTCATGGTTTCCTACAAGTGGGCTCGCATTTCATTGGGACTTCCTGCCTCTGTTAACTCCGGGTTAATATGCACTCAATGTCGCAAGAAGCTCTTGGTTAAGTTCCGTGAGTTTATTCAGCTTAAAGTTGCTGAGTCAACTGCATTGCCTTGTAATGAGATAGACTTGAAGGGGTATGTGATATCATTTAATGTAGAAACAATGAGCATTGTGGCCGACCCCATAGAAGAAGAAATGGAAGGGGTCGATAGCGTCAACGAATCCAAATCAAACGGTCTCTCTCAACCGCTCGATGCTCCGTCAGTTGTAAAAGATGCGCCGTCAGTTGAAAAAGATGCTGCCGCGCCATCTGTAACTTCTAATGTAATTCAAAGGAGTAGAAATACGAGCTGTACGAGATCGATGCCTAAATCTCGACAAGTGAAGCGAGATGAAAGTAAAACTACATCTGGAGCACAAGATTCGAGCGCCAATTGTCACCAGGACGATGCGACCAGCAGTCGAGAAACAACGACCTACGATGTGAACTTTTCCAATTCCAGGAAAAGAAAGCCTACTAAACTAATGCCAAACACAACCGAGTCAGCGCACCAGTTCAAGAAATCTGCAAATGTGAAGAGTAGCGATAACCTTGGCAGTGGAGCTCCAACAGAGAAAACTGATTGTGAGAAACAACAATTGTCTGATAATACAGAATCTGCTGTGGTAGAAGCAAATGTTAAAAATCCTTCTATAAACCAAACGACCAAGAGGAAAATATCTGATGATGATGATGATTCTACTTGGCTGTCTCTCAAACGATACAAATTCAGTGAAGAAGAGTTTGTGTATATTCCCAACGATTCCATGGAGGTAAGCGAATTTTTGTGAGCTTTATTTGCTTCGGAATATTGTACGTAGAGCCAAGGTTGAATGTAATAATGCATTTGTTTCACCTTGAATAGCTCCATCTTGTGCTGTGGTAGCCAAACTGTTTTGTTACTCCATGAAAATATTAACTGCCAGTCATAAGAAATAGATAAAGACTATTTGATCTAGAGACTATTTGCTACTGTCGTCACAACTCCAACTGGAATCTTATAATTAGCCCAATGAGTGAAGTAAATGGAATTTTACGGTAACTATTAATTTTAATATATTCTGCACCGCAGAAAAGAAAATAAAATTCATACCATCAGGTAGGCTTTCCGTTGCATCTTGCTACTGTATTAACGATCATTCAGGTTGAAATTGATTTACTGACGAGCTTTTATCCTAATTCTCGGCTATTGTGCAGGTTATATCTGAGGCTATGGTTGCTCTGCATCATCTGTGGCAAAACGTGTCTCTAGACCAACTATTGTCGCTGGAGCTTCGACCTGCTACATTAGACAGCGATGATCCCGACACCAGCAGTGCTGCACCGGCACCTTGCTTAGGCGTCGACCAAGTCACATGCGGCTTACTGCTCATGTTGGACGAGTATAGACGCCATTTATTTGAGGAGTTTGACGTGTTGTGTATTTGGCTTGAAAAGTTATCAGGCCGTGAAGTTGATCAGGTTCAGATCAAATCGCTTTTCAGACGCCTGACTGCAAAGTCTGTTATGGCAGATCTTATATTGAAACCCTTGCCACCTGAGGTGTGGAAGCGTCGTGAAACTGAATCTCCTGCCGAGACTCCAATTGAAATCTCGAAACATGATGTTGATTCTGCACTTGTGAAAGATTCAATAAGCGAAATTAATTTCTCGGACCAACGAGACGCTCACAATAACAAAGACGCTCATTTTTGGTTCAAAGAAAAGTTATTACGCTCGTCTTTGATGGACCTGAACCAGCATATGAAAACAAGCAACCTGAATCTGGAGCAAATTGATTTCGAGCAGCCTTTCTCATGGACCACTTACCTTGAGCCCGTGGATGTTGACCTTCTAATTTCAGGTCGTCTTCATCCTCCTGTTCGAGAAGATCAGTTCAACAACGGCCTCCTGCACGCCCTGTGGAGAGTGAGTCTTATTGTGGGCTTCACTGAACGAACTGTGGGAGCTTGGCTTGCCAAACTCAGCCCAGTTCCCCTCACCGCAGCCGTAATAGAGAAATTGCTCACGGTTGCCAAGCCTATGTACAGTCACATTCTGACTGTTCCTAAACATCTTAATCAGCTTTCAGTTCCGATTCTCTATCACGGCGCTGATGACGATGATAATTCGTTAGACGATGTTCATGAGAAGAAACAAAAATCTGAAGAGAAACGTGATGGCTTGGCGAGTCCGCCTTCTCAGCAGCCTTGCACTGACTTGAATGATTCTCAGGTTGAAAGCTTAAAAAATAACAAAAACGCCAATAACAGCTTACTTTTGGATGGAAAGAGTGGGCAGAACCAGACTTCTGAGCCATCGTTTGCTAATGGGAATGAAAGTAAAGATGTAAGCATCTGCCCAAATATTGACAAAGATACGGATTCGCCTTCTAAGCGCACTTCCGACGAGTTAGCAGGTGCCAGCCAAATATCAGATGTTGTGCTTCGACGACCGATACGTGATGCGCGAGATTTAAGTACCATTGACTTGACATCGCTACCTCAGAAAAGTTCTCCTGTCACAACTCGTAGGAAATTCGTAGGTCCTGCTAGTAAGAGGCCGCGAGCTTCCAGCCCATCTGATGTGGAGAGGGTGGAGAAAGTTTTAAGAATGGATAATGTAAACAAGGATAATAACGCTTGCGTTCAACTGAAAAGACTTGCTCTCAACAAGTCGCTTTCTATCACGGCACATCTGTGTGAAGAGTCAGTAGATATAGAATCTACTTCCGTTCAGAATAAGTCAGAAGAATCAAAATTGCATGTAAATGATCCGAATGAAGATAAACCGATGCCTGTTGAAGATTCAAATGAAAAAGAAAAACCGATGCCTGTTGAAGATACAAATAAAGAATTACCGATGCATATTATTGATGCTAATGAAGAATCGCCGATGCCTCTTAAAGATGGAAATGAAGAAGTTCCGAAGTCTGTTAGTGATACGAAAGAAAAATTACCGAAGTCTGTTAGTGATAAAAAAGAAGAATTACCGAGCAGATCTAGTGTCAAAGCCATCAATGAACGCTTGGAAAGAAACCCATGTTTAGGTACCAAGATTTTACCTGCGACCACTGCTAAAGATTCAGCCACTGTCATTGAAGGTCTTATCTCATCGAAATCAGTCTCTATGACTTTAGTTTCATCGAGTCACCAATGTGCTTTAAGTGATAATCCCTCGGCTCTTATTACTACATCTTGTGAGGAATTGTGTAAAAAAGAACCTGAAACGGCATCTAGGTCTCCTTGCAAACTCTCTGATGTGAATAATACAAATAGTGAAAAGACTTTTGCAGGACTCGTATCTCTGTCTACTTGTTCTTCTGTAACAAAATTTAATAAAGATTCGACGGAAGGTTCATCCCTTCGTCCAAGATTACAGCATATCTCAACAAAACCTGTAATCAAGGTGGGGTCGTCGAGTTTATTTCCGCAGCATTCATTTTGCGGTGAAGTTAATGATCCAATTCTAGATCAATTCGATGAAAATTCGACTAGTCTATGCTACGAATCAGCTAAGTCTGTTGCATATCCCCGGGAGGCGAGTTTTGATGAGTGGAGCAAAGTGGATAACAAAATATTCAGGTCTTTCGTAAATGTGACAAGACCTGCTTCCACGGAACCCTTGCCCTCATTTCCTGAACATCCTCCACCTTCGATTGGGTTGAAATTTAAACTTGGTATGTCACCTACCCGCACTCCTGGAAGGCCTTCGATGTGTGCGTTGGAAAGATCTCCGCGATTATTGCGGTCAAGCTCTTGTGATCTTAATCAAAAGATTCCTTCTTCTCTTTCCCAAGTGCAAATCAATCAGAACAGCAGTGATCGCCTTCTGAGATGCAATGTAAGCTCTCAATCCGCAGTAACTGAGTGTCGCAAATTGATGCACTCTGTTGACACAGCAAAACTATCATTGAGCACAAACAGCAGATCTTCTTTTCGAAGCAAGTCTGAAGGAAGTAGAAGTTCTCCTCGTTGGGCTAATAACACTGCTGAGTCTGTTGTCTCAGGCACTACAAAAACTTCTCCTGCAAGGGCAAGTTCTGGCGTTGCAAAGAAGCGATCGTTGCGGGAGGCCCCGAAAAGTTGTCCCTCTGCGATGTATCGTGGTGCTAAACCTGCTCCACAGCCTCATCCCGACCCTACGATGGACAATTTAAGAAATACACCAAAGAAACCTGAAGAAAATCCATCGTCCTCAAATCGTGTGTCAGCTTCTGCAATGGACCGAGATCATTGTTACTCACGTTGCAAATCACCGAGACCATTTTTACACACTTTAAGCATTGTTTCACACGGTGCAAGTATTCGGCACGATCCTCAAGATCGAATTGTTGTCTCAATTATGAAATCGAATTCGAAAATTCCACTTGGAAAGAAAACTGATGGCGTCAACCAATCTGCGGCAGTGGCTTGTGCTCCAAGCAACAGCTCTACCAACAATCAGCCAGTAGGCCTCTCTGGCTCAGTTCAATTGAATGAAACGGCAATATCTGTCAAGGCTCATAACGTTCCTCCTGCTTCTTCTATCGATCCCAAGAGTTCCACTGGTCCCTCGATTTCAAGTGGCAAGGAAAGCCGACACTCACAAGTAGTGGTTCATAACGGGAAGACGTACCGAGCTTACGTCGTGCCATCACCAGGCAACTTGGCTGCTGTCTCCGCGAGTCTCCAAAGCTCACGCTCTGATGTTTCATCTGCTAAACCTGGGCTGAACAATATCATAATGACAAATGTGATTGGAACAAATCCATTGAACTGCAGCTTTCCATCGCGTGGAATCCCTAGTACAACCGTCGTGACATCCATGCGTGCAAATACGAAGCCATCGACCATTTTGCCATCCAACACTCCATGTCCAGCATTAATTCCCAACGAGTTGTTGCTATCCCAAAACCCTAACTTTTTACGCAACAATACATTAAGTTCTGTTACTCCTTCATCGTCGCGTTCAATTCCAAATGTCCAAGTACCCGGAAATGTTCCTATGCCTAGCATTCAAATGCCTCATCTGTTTACTGCTCAGGGGATGCCTTTTAACCTTACTCAAAGCAGCTCAGGCAGAAACGATTTACCTTCAATTCACGGGATGCCTCACGAGTCAGTTATGCAACAGATGATCTCTTATGGCCATAATTATGCACAGCCAGCTCAATTGCTGGTTTCCACACAACCACTTTACAACGGCCGTGAGTTCTCCGGCCCTCCTCAGACTCCTTCTCAACTCTTAAATATGTCACAAGCTTTCAGACCATCTAACCCAACCGGTTATCTCTCGATGCATCCCAACACCAGTACCAACGCGGTTCGTATTCTCCAATCGGAGAATAACATTGAAAAACACACCATAATCCACGATAGTTCGATTTTGGCGTCGTCTTCTCTGTCTATTCAGCAGGTTCCTCATACATCTGACAATGACAAAGTTTCTGTTCTAGAAGAACAGTTGAAAGAAATTCAGGCACAGAACAAACTTCTCCTTAAAATTAACGAGAAATTGTTGTCAAAAAGCTTCGGGAAGAAGAAAAAGAAGAAGAAACATAAAGAAGAATCTTCTGACGATTCGGACTCTGACGACAGTGAATCATCGGAATCGAGTGGCTCCTCTGAAGGCGCTAAGAGTGCCAAGAAGAAGCGTTGCAAACTTAAAGCTGAGAATGAAGTAAACGCTCGGAAGATTTCAGCACCGACAAATCGGCGTGGCAGAGCTAGACGGGGTCGCGCACTGCGACGGAAGAAATAGTTATGAGATTGATCTGTAAATAATTTAAAAATAATTAATTAATTTGTCTGGAGTCGAGATATTAATCTTTCATTAACTGGTTGGAAACTGTATAGAAGAAAAAAGATACATCGCCATTATCCTTCAAATATGTTACCTATGCACTGTGTAAGGTTTATTGTTTCGTTTGTTTATTTAGTGTTTTCCAACCGAAAAGATTAGTTCACTTCCATGGAATACTTAATCAGTATTCAAGCGTAAATATGTAGTGCTTCTAGCAAGGAGCGCCGGTCTTATCCTTTACTTGAACTTCTCTCAAATAATTTGTATAACAATTGAGGTTGGCTTCTGGTTGAGGCTTGATAATTCCATGTTGATGTATTATAAAAGTATGTTCATTATTATTGAACCTTCTAGGTTAGAAGTCAAAATTGTCTCCTCACACTCAGGTCATCATCAAAAAAATGTTTCGCAATTTTTAGGCTTCAATGTAATCGTTTGACTTCATTTCTTGAAAATTAATTTCATCTCGGCACTCGTTTATTGTTATGATGTATGCTCGAAAATCAGATAAAAATGTATGATTTGATCAATGATAAGTCAAAACTACAATGAAATCCATTTAATGTACTGTACAATTCCTCATATTTTTATACCGGCGATTGAATTAATTTTACCGTCAGTAGGATACATTACTCAGGACTGCTTGATAATTTGCGTTTCAATAATACTAGGACGAGAAACAAATATTTGGCTCAATCAATTTTTATTTCAGTATTTTAGTTTTTTAATTAAAGTGCCAAACGTCGCTCGCGCTCTAATTTACGACTTGGATGCATGTTGGTCAGAACACGCTCATTAGGTCAATTTAATTTTGCTAATTATTTCTTTTGTGTTTTTTACATTTTGAAATTTTAAAACGATCAGTACACTTGATAAGATTTCCATAGGCTGCCTTGAAATTTTTGACATCAACAATAGGAATTTGGAATGTTAATTGCTGTTTTCTTTGCTATTCAGTAACAAAAAGTAACGTTTTTATGTTCTCTTCTTATTTAACTATGCAAAAATCCAATTCAGTAGTAAATTGCTTCCATTCATGCGTTTCTTCCTGCTTCAATGAAAATTAGTGAATAAATGGCAGTGAGGCGTTCACTGTGTTGATCTGATTTCCACTTACTATTAAGTACGGCTCCCTAGAATTGTTTTCGTGCACACATCTAGCGTGCAACAGGAATTTAAGCAAAATTTCTTTATGTTTTAGATTTACCAGTATTTTTAAAGGCAGCGCGAATATGATTTACTGCTTGTAATCAGCAGCATTTCTTGCTTTGACATGACTTTACAAAAGTTCAATGGTTTTATTTACCTCCGTCGCCGAGCAGCCTTCAAGTATAGCTGTCCGTTCGCTCATGACGAATCGCTTCAGTGACACGCTACCTTTGGCCGTGTGTTACCTACAGTCATCGTGGCTGTCCTTCATCAGTGCAGTCTCTCGACCGTGTCAACCTGTCAAACCTAAATATTGACGGGATTAAATTATGTTGATTTCTCATTCCTCACTTTCTCCGACCTTGTGTGATTCAAACAAAATATATATTACCCAGCGTCCGTCCAGTGTCGAGTTAATCGTAAGGCTGTTGCTCAAATATCAGCACTAGGAGCTTCATTAAGTAAATACATCTACGGGCAAGGGAGGCCTGCATTGTTATTCCTGGAACTCGTGACAATAATTTCTCGCTCCCAAATACATCTTCATTGAATCATTTATGCTCACCTACAGGCTACAACTAATTCATTCACGAGGAGTATGATGCTTATTTGAAATGCCCTTGTTTCTCGAATCTTGTGTAAACACGCAGTATTCAAATATCGATATAATGGATTTTTTTTACAGCTCAACTTCGTGAAGATTGCCATTTCTGAACCGATTGACAACTTACCTGCATCAACGTCCAAGTATTTCTCCAGTCCTGCCATAAACATGTTTCTCTATTCCTTGGTGTGTGTGAATGTCGTGTGAATTTCGTTTTGTTAATTTCTTTTGCTCTTAAATTCATTTATTTAATCTGTTGGGAAGTTGGATTCACTTCAAAGCTTACAATTTCAAATTAATTCTAATTTCACGCTTTATATTTAATTATTACTTCACATAAATCAAATAAATCTATTTACTTTTTAGTGATCTTCTTTGTTCTGCGAACTGCGAAGATCATTATTCAAAATTTAGCCATAGGTCTTTATCTCAATTTACAAAGCATCAAAACCTTCAACTGTTCTTCTTAATTTTCATTTGGATTTGGGACGTGGTGAGACAAAGACATATCAGAGTCAGGCGTTAGCAACGGCCATCAGCCACACATCACATATTCATTTGTTAGTATGAAGGTAAAAAAGGAGACCAAGCCAGGTGGAAGCGACATTAAAGGAGGGGCTAGATGCGTGTGAACCATGGTGGAATATTAGTTCAACCATGGGGGTGAACTTCCATGGAATACTCTATGTCCGACTTCCCACACCTGAAACCGATTTCCACTATTTTCCTCAAATTATTCTTCCTTCATAAAAAGATTACCGCACTGGGCATTTAAACCTCAGGTTCGTAGTGTTTTTTTTACAAGTGATATTTAATCATTAGTATAACCGTAATTAGTTTAACGTGGCACATTGAAAGATCTCTAATTTAAATTAGCCTTTTCTACAGCAAACAATTAATGCGATCCTAAGACCGGTCGGCTTAACTAAATTTCCACGTCACGCATTCGTCACCCTGTTATGTCAACCCGACACCTTGGACTTCATCAAATTCTTGTGAACCGTATCATGAAAATTGCATTATGGGATTCAGAACTTAATTAAACGACTGAATATTGTCTGCAGTGCTATGAAGCAAAATCATTCCAAACCAAACCAAACTTTGTTAAACAAATTGAAATAAAAGCTTCCTTGGATATTTCTTTAATTTGATACAGGGATTTTGCGAAAACATCACTTCATGTAGACGAAAACGAAATAGAAAAAAAATCATCATGACGTAAACTCACCGTTGTGGTGTTATAAATGCATGTGCAAAATTTTATTTGGCTGCTTAATTTGGGAGATATTTGAAGCCCGCTGCAAATTTGACAATCGGTCACTCGAATGCCAGTCGTTTCTCCGTAAACTCTCAAACGTAGGCGAAATCAAAACAATTTTAAGACGTACCTAAATATCACTGTTAGTTAGTTAGGAATGTATATTAAAGGTTTAGTTCCTCAATATCCCTGTGTATGAGCGTCTTAAATTGGTTAATGACACCACTTGTGAAAACCATGGTTGCATTGTGAAAGCGCTTTTTCAGTTTAGTCACCGTCAAATTTACGAAAGATTTATTTATTCCATCGTTGAATTGTTGAAAATGATCGTAGTTTGGCATCAAAATTGATTGGAGATATTTTTGGAATCAATGTGTAAAATGTTAACAAACATTCACTTATATGTTATAATACATCTAAATATAAGGTAAGAATTTATTTCGTATCTAGGGCTAGAGGTTGAGTCATTTACACACATCACGATCAGCCTAATAATCGCAAATGAATTTGCTAAGTGAGTCACGAGTTTACATAGAGAAACGCCGGTTTATTTGCATCGTGTAATTGTCTGAATAATTGGGTCAAAACATTAACGTTCGCCAGTACATTGAATTCTGTTGTCAGACGTCGCCGGATCGGAGTCGGTGATAGCGAAGTCTCCACTTGTCTCTCGCTCTCTCCCTGAACAGTCGGCCGGCGGGTTGTCCAATACACTGGAGCCGAAGAAACAAGTGCAAATATAATTAGTCTTTTTTTTGTTTTTCGTGAGCTGAATTCCTCAAAATGGCTTTAACACTTGTTAGAATTCCGCCTTCATTGTTAACCCTAAACCGAGGTGGGTGGGCTCTCCTGTCCCTGACTCCTGCATTATCATAGCTAAATCATTATGGCATGATTAGCCTGTGCGATTATAGGTACTAACAACTAACCTATACTTATAGTAGCTATAGGGTACTATATATATACCTACTTTGCCAAATATATGAAAGGATTTTGATTTATGTGATTAGCCTATTAATTTTACTTGATCATGACTCATGAGATGATGATAAAACTTCCCATCAACTAGCCTATGAAATTAATTGTAGCCTAGTGACTAGTGACAAACCAGAGCAGATACCTATTTGTTAGAATCAGTTCATTTTCAATTGCCTGATTTGCCTCATCTACCTAGGAGGCTAGGCCTACCCAATATTTAAACAAATATTACAACACTTCTCTTTACTTCTTGTTGATTGTCTGTCTGTCTGTCTGTCTGTCTGTCTGTCTGTCTGTCTCAGTCTATCTGTCTGTCTGCTACAAATCTTATAGGCTAATCAAAATTGAACACACTTCTACTTAGGCTAGCTTCCTAATAATCCTATCAATCTGAAATTTTGCACACTTGCATAAAGTTGTAGACACTGCATGAATCAAATGACAAAATACTAAATAATTTTGAAAATATTTTTATTTAATATTGAAAAAAGTGAGAAAATAATTTTGTCAGCCTAGCTACTCAGCTACAAATCTTATAGCCTACTAGGCTAGGCTAATTGATATTTGACATGCTTTTACCTTTCCAATTGATCTAAAATTTTGCACACTAGTGTGAAGTTGGACTACTGTTGGAGGCAATGCATGAATCAATGGGCAGAATAAATACTAGTGAAAAAAAATTATATATTAAAAAAGTGAAAAATTAATTTTTTTAATATTCAAAAATAAAATTAGAATTTCATTGTACATCTGTAACATTAGAAATACTAGATTCTTTAGAAGTTTTGTCTTTAAAAAGTAATTTTTAAATGTATATTATTAATTATATTATCATTTTTATGTATCATGTAGGTATGGTATGATAATGCTGGATTGCTGGTATCCATGATACTTTACTGGTATTGGTCTACTTATTGGAACCAAAAATGAACTAAAAGTCTCAAGAAAGAGACCAAACAGCCTAAAAAGTCTGCTTTGCCACTATGCAAGTTCAGAATTCCTATCAATAACCTATCTTTTTCAATTATGTAATTTATGCTCAGGGGCTCGGGCTTGAGCCTGGAAACCTCAGCTTAAGTTGCCATTATTTTAGGAATTTTCTACTTTCACAACTTGCTAAGTTGCTCCTGTGCAGCTGTGCCAACCACAATTGATCAGTATTGCTGCCAGTGATGTATTTTTGTACTTGTACTTGTAGAAGCAATGCCATAGTGTGAATGTATTGAATGAATGCAAGATGGTAGCTGAAGTTAGCACCTACCTACTTTTTTCTGTGAGAGCCACTGTACAAAAAATTGTTTTATATATTATGGGGCGTTAAGAATGTTAGAGCAGAAATGATATTCGGAGCAACTAGCAAATGTGGAGACTGAGAGTCAAGGGGATTAAAGAAATATTTTTAGTGTCAGGTGAAGGGTGAAAAAATAGATGATAAGTAGCATTCAGGTGGATAATACTTGTATAGGATCTTATGAAGTGTCTCTACTTCACAAGATATTCATGATGGCAGCATTGTCCATGCAAATGGCTTGCACTATCCTGTTTGTGATATATTGGATTTTTTTGGCTGAATTTACAGATGGTATTAATTTGTAACTTCAATTTTCTGAATCCAAGTTATTTTTATCCATCTTGAACAAATTTTGCCTATTGCAGGTTGCATCAGAACGCTGAGTGTATCTGCGGCTCAGAATGCTCCTGCGGTCAAAAGCAAGAAGAGCTTGGCCAAGCAGGGGCTCAAGAACATCGTGCTGGTGGATGGTGTACGCACACCCTTCCTCATGTCAGGGACAGCATATCAGAAGCTCATGCCGCATGATCTGGTCAGACATGCTCTCAAGTGAGTCGAGAAGTTCATGCCCCATGATCTGGTCAGACATGCTCTCAAGTGAGTCAAGAAGTTCATGCTCCATGATGGCGGTTTTTGTTATAATGTTTTTTGTTTAATTGTTTTTTTATTATAATTTTGGTTTTTAGTACAATTTTTTAGTATATGGTTATGGAAGGATGGTTTTTAGTATAATTTTGTGTTTCAGAGGCCTAGCTGACCGGTTACAGCTTGACAAGAGTGCCGTGGACTACATCTGCGTGGGCACCGTCATCGCTGAAGTGAAGACCTCGAATGTTGCTCGAGAGGGCGCGCTAGGCGCAGGGTATGGCCTCAGCACTCCTGCCCACACTGTCGCCATGGCCTGTATCTCCTCGAATGTTGCTTTAACCACCTGTAAGCTCTCTAGTCTTTATTGTTATGCTTATATTTTGCCCTAAAGTCTTTATTGTCATCTTACCTATATTTTGCCCAAAAGTCTATTGTCATGCTTATATTTTGCCCAAAAGTCTTTATTGTACTGCTTATATTGGGCCCAAAAGTCTTTATTGTACTGCTTATATTTTGCTTAAAAGTTTTATTGTCATGCTTATATTTTGCCCAAAAGTTTTGATTGTACTGCTTATATTTTGCCTAAAAATCTTTGTCATGCTAATATTTTGCACAAAAGTCTTTATTGCCATGCTAATATTTGGCCCAAAAGTCTTTATTGTAATGCTTATATTTTGCTCAACAGTCTATATTGTCATGCTTATATTTTACCAAAAGTCTTCATTGTCATGCTTATATTTTGCCCAAAAGTCTTTATTGTCAGTCATATATTTTGCTCTTAACCTTCTCTAGTTTTGAGCTTTTCCTTTAAGTTTGAATAATAATACAAATGCTACTTATTTATCCTTTTTTATTTAGTGTGATGTTTTGGTGTCTATGTTGCGTGCTCTGATCCAAATTTGATTAAAGTAATCTATTATAATAAGAATTTGTAGAATGATCAAATAAGTACGTAGCTATAGCCTTTCTATCAGCATCCCATTATGGTATTCAGGAATTATTTGATAAACACTAATTTATTGTAGAAAAATTTCTGTCAAGTCAGACTGTGGTAATATAGGTTCAGATTTAGTCATATATTGTTTAGTTATAAACACGTGAACATTTTAATATGTATTGTATATGGCTGAAATGTCCTTTATGGAGCGTTTTCCTAGTTAGTACTGTAAACATCGCTGCTGTTTGTGCAGATGTAAGTTTTGTTTTTATGTGGCTGCATTTTTGCTTTCGTCAAATGTTAAACTTATTTAGCAAGCCTTGTAACTATGTACAAGCTATTCACCTACTAGCAGCTCGTATGGGTAGGGCTTGTGATTCATCCATCCCCTTATTTTATTCAGTATAATGATTAATAATTTCTTCTTCTTCAAGTTATTTCATCAAAATTACATAAATCATCAGAGAACCCTGGTCAATACAGAAATATTTAATTGGCGGAGTAAATAATTTTATTTATTGAAATAGATCAGGCAAGAATTAACTCTAGCAGCAGGTTTTTGAAAATTCTGCCAGTCCACGGGTGTGATATTATCACTAGTGAAGACAATTATTAATGCTATCGTAGTCACTTGAATCGCTTTGTCTGTAGACAAAATAGAGGAATTCATCATGAATTGTAATTTTTATTAAGGGTTTTCAATATACGTTTTTTCAATAGTTGTCAAATGATTCCAAAAATTGCTATACCCCAACTTTATGCTTGAGTTCTAATAATATTGTGCATGCTGCCAGCATATATACAGGGTGTCCCCCCCAAAAAAAACGATACCCAACTTTGAATGGCTGTAACTCGAAAAGTAATAGAGTTAAAAAAATTTGAAAGGTCAGAATTTGTTCCCTATGTTTTTCTCGATCTCCACCAAAAATCAGACAGATCGATGTAGCCAAAAGCGTTTGATAGAACTTTCAGTGACATGTGCTAAAATCGTGCTTGCGCAAAGTTTTAGTAAGATCATTTTGCATAACCATAACATTTTCTTGACATGTTTTCTTTTCGCTGTTTTATTTTTTAGCGCATTTTCTCATTTATGAAAAAAATGCACTATTGTGCTCGCCAAACCAAAGATTGTCATGATTGTGTCTCACCAAAGATTGTCATGATTGCCTCTCACCAAAGATTGTCATGATTGCCTCTCACCAAAGATTGTCATGATTGCCTCTCACAAAAGATTGTCATGATTGCCTCTCACCAAAGATTGTCATGATTGCCTCTCACCAAAGATCGCCATGTTTTTGTCTCACCTAAGATACAAAAAATGGAACTCAGTACTCACTGCAGTGAGTGACAGAGAGCGCATTTTCTCGCCGACGAAAACATGAAGTCACGGACAGACAGACGGACGGACGGACTGACGGACATGGCGAGCACAATAGTGCATTTTTTTCATAAATGAGAAAATGCGCTAAAAATCAAACAGCGAAAAAAAACATGTCAAGACAACGTAATGAGTATGCAAAATGATCTTACTAAAACTTTGCGCAAGCACGATTTCAGCACATGTCACTGAAAGTTCTATCAAACGCTTATGCCTACATCGATCTGTCTGATTTTTTGTGGAGAGATGCAGAAAAACATAGGAAACAAATCCTGACCTTCCAAAATTTTTTAACTCTATTACTTTTCGAGTTACAGCCATTCAAAGTTGGGTATCGTTTTTTTGGGACACCCTGTATAGAAGTTTTCAATTGTTGCTTTGCTTACTCCTATTATTGTTGCTTCAGGACCGACAAGCGATGTATATTTTCTCTGGAAATCCAGATGCTAGTGGAAATAATTGTAATAAATAAATTAGGTAAATTTATTATATCGCCTATTTGGTTAGTAGATAGTGTATTCAGTGCTCGTATGAGAAGGAGGAAAGTTGGTCAGTGAGTGTAAGCCTATTGTTGAACTAACGAGCCTCTAAATAGTCGGAATGAATGTTTATAAGTCTTCGTCAACAGTGTTCTAAACTTGCCAATCTTGCTTTTGTTGCATGCGTTGTCAGTGATGAGGCAGATGATGACGTGCCATTATAACATAACATAGTGATCTCGGCGCTGAAGTGTAGGCCTGATGTGGCCTGTCGCCGATTCTTTTCCTTTTCGTGTCTTGTTCACAGAAGATCTAAAATCTTGTCATGTGCTCATCTCCAGGGTAAATCTTTTCTGGCTTGTCTTCAATTGAAAGAATAGAAGATACTAGAAACAAACTGGAAAAATAATGTTGGCTCAAAACCATGAGTTTTGTAACCATTTAAAAAAATCCATTGCTAATTAATGCAGTGATCCGATACTCTGACTTATAGCATATTTCTAGATGTTCGTGGCATTTAAAAAAAAGAGGCAACCATGAATGTCACGGTATAGCTTGTTCTTCAGCATCGCAATCTTGAGATTTTTATTTGTACAAATATATGTGAAAGAAAACAAAGTATTGCAATAGCAGGTTAGCTATACAGTTTCTATAGGAATCTCAGAGAACATAATTTATCCCATTCCAACAGTTCAATCATCGCAATTTCCAACATTCGTCTATTATAAATTAGAGGTGGCCAGTGAGAATGATTGAGAACACTCGTAATTATTACCTGTGGTGGTCACAGTATGCTAACTGCTAATTGGCAAAGCTGACGTTTTCCTTAGCTGGTGTGCCACACTGATGGCCGACTATGTCAACATATGTACGTCAAGCAATCACGTCTTGTGTAGCAAAAGGCGAGATAGGTTACACAAGACGTGATTGGTTGACGTACATATGTTGACGTAGTCGGCCATCAGTGTGGCACACCGGCTAAGGAAAACGTCAGCTTCTCTTCACAGTCTGGTTAGCAGACTGTGACCTCCACTGAATAGTATTACTGCATGAGCTGTGTGCATGCAACGTCTCAAGACCTCTTTGTGTTATAGGCATCGGCTACATGCAGGCTGGTGTGTACGACGCGTGCGTGGCTGGCGGGGTGGAGACGATGTCTGACGTGCCCATCCGACACAGCCGACAGATGCGGGCGCTGATGCTCAAGCTCAGCCGTGCCAAGAACATGGGTGCGTTGTCTGCTACTGGGGCGACTCTTGTTTTGGTTTAGTATGGCTAAACATTCGCGTTTTTTAGCGCATTTCTCATTTATGGAAAACATAACTCAGTACTCACTGGCCATGCAGTGAGTGAGTAACAGAGAGCGCATTTTCTCGTCGACGAAAACGTGAAGTCACGGACAGACAGACGGACGGACGGACGGGCATGACGAGCACAGTAGGGCATTTTTTCCATAAAATGCGCTAAAAAGGCGCTATTGTGTTCGTCATGTCCGTCCGTCTGTCTGTCTGTCTGTGATTTTTTGAGACGTTTTCGTCGATTTTGAGAAAATGCGCTCTCTGTCACTCACTGCTGTGAGTACTGAGTTATATTTTTTTGTGAACTAAGATCACTTGACTGCTTAAATCGCAAGTTTATCAAGAATTTAAAAGCAAAGAAAATAGCCAGAAAATTCACCATTTCTTATAAAGGAAAATGTTACGGAGTCCAGCTCCATCGTTAGTGCAAAACCTAAAACCATCGTCAGTTTTCGGTTTTGAACTGATGATGGAGCTGGACTCCGAAACGTCTTCCTTTATAAGACATGGTGAATTTTCTAGCTTTTTTCTTTTCTTATAAATTTCTGTGAACAGCTGTGTTATTGTAATATACTTGATGATTTTCACGGGAGTAAGTTTTATGTTACTGTATCTTGTCAAAATATTTATCAAATATATAATTCTTACTGAATCTCCAAACTGGACGCCAAAATTTCGTTTAGAAAGTTCAAATCATTACAGTGAGAGAAATGAAAAAATTCTGTGAAAATATTGTAAATTTCTAGACATTATCTTTGCTTTTAAATTTTTAATTTATTGTTGCTCGTGTGGCATGATTGACTGTTGCTCGTGTGGCATGATTGGCTGTTGCTTGTGTGGCATGATTGACTGTTGCTCGTGTGGCATGATTGGCTGTTGCTTGTGTGGCATGATTGACTGTTGCTTGTGTGGCATGATTGGCTGTTGCTCGTGTGGCATGATTGACTGTTGCTTGTGTGGCATGATTGACTGTTGCTCGTGTGGCATGATTG